AAGGTCATCGTTATCTTCCACGACTTACCACAACTATTTAATGTAGGCAGCCTCTCTGATCGTCTGTACAAATAGATAGGAAACGCCAAACAAGAACAATAAAGCGGCACCTGGCGACTGGTTGGAGAAATAGAGAATCATGCACATAGTTTGCTGTAACAAGTATGCTTCTGTGTAAGTGCGTCTGTGTTAGTTCAAACGTTGAAAGTATGACACATTGCACTTAGTCCCCAGGTGCCGCTGTATTGTTTACTATTTTCATGATCAGAAAGGCTGGATGTAGGTACAAATGGACGCAGAGGTACACGATAACATGTCTTTGCACATTGTATTTGATATAGTTTGTCTAAAAGACAAGCATATTGTTCAAATTTCCAGCAAAATCAGTCAAAGCATTTAGCTCAAATACCGGATTTTCAGAATCGGACATCACGGTCACAATATACAGTGCACAACGGCAAGTCCAAAGGAAGCTACACCCAAATTCTGAACAAAATCGGATCAAGGAAATGGCTATTGATTCGATCTCGTGTTCACTTTTGTGGCATGGCAAAAAGAGGAAAAGAAGAGCATTGGTTTAGCTAATACTGTACTGTTTATTGCTTTTTCATTACAATTTTATTTCTCTCGTATGTTATATACTTTAGTAACTTTCAACTAACTTAGGAATTTGACAATAATTTTTTAAGATATTTTTGAAAAAAGTTCATTCTGAAGGCGGGGTGAACTATCTTATCATGAATTTTCTTATCATTGTTTAGGGAAAGTCAATTACGCAGTAAAAATCTCTCGATACGAAACAGTTGCAATAGTGGAGTACTTGAAAAATCAATTGATTAAATAATGAAACAATAAACCGTGTGATTAGGATATTGTAAGGTTTCACTGTTCGAATTCGATTTCTAAAATTATAAATGACCTATCGAAGCAGTTCAAACTTCGAATTGATTGATTTTCTCAGGGAGTTCCGTTCATATTCCGTTATTCAATTCGCATGACACATGCGATGAGCTTAATTTCGTTCAAACGTATGTCATTTAAATTCATATGATTTGATGGAAGCCGCCTACTTGAAGGTGAACATTGATTCACCATTCAGAATTTGGTCGTAATTCTAATTATACAAATAGGTTGCATGATTTGAAAAATCGAAAACATTTTTAGATGAGATTTTCAATGTCATTCGATTCTCATTCCCAATTATTCTTGTTCGTTAGCAGATAAGTTATACATGCCTTCGAGGAGGTCCCGGCAAACAGGTTCAATTTTTAATTTGAAATTGTGTAATGACTCCAACTGACTTGAAGAATTTGATTTTCAGTTTTTGTGCAAAATTTTATTGCCATTTGGAAAACCTGACCATTTAAGAATTCTGGGAAAATCGCTTGAAGAATTTTTATATTTAATTAATAAAATATAATAGTTGATCATACCGTATTTTCGAGACTGTTTACCCAAATCGTTCGTTAATGCTAATTAAACTATGCTAATTAAATGTCATCAATGAAGTTCGAAGAAATAACCTAAAAATAAAATCGAGAAATTTTTTAATTAGAAATTAACCAAATCAAGACGGCGTTTGCTTTATGAAACACACAATTTGTTAAGAATCAATCGATATTCTTTCAATTTAATGACGTATTGTATAAATTATTATTGAGCCGAAACAATGAGTTCTTTATTAATTCAATGTTTACATTGAAAAATCGAATATATTCACAATGTGTATTTTATTTATTCGAATGCCCAGATATATTTTTGCCCAGATAATTTTCAACAATTTAATCGATTCGTTCGTGTCTTCAGTGAACGTGATACAATGTTGTCTTTTGTTGTCAGTAGACTTGATTTTGCACAGATGCGATCTGGATAAACAGGTTCTATTCCTGAAGATGATTTCATTGGAATTTTTTTTTTGTTTATTTTCCATATCTATGTAACGATTTGATCTAATTAAATTCAAGTTTTTGTTATTGATAAAATAAAAGTAAAGCAAAATAAGAAAAAGAAACAAAATCAAGAGTCGCGACCTAATTGTTAGTCGAGATTAAGAGAATCTGAATAAATAAAGCGAAATGTTTGCCGCTACTTCTATACACTAAATCAAAAAAACTGATATGAATCGTGTTTTGGTTTTTGCTTTCATCGATTTGCGGAGCTAGACTATTGATTAGCATCAATATGTTGTGCTCAAGTGTCAATATTCGCTTCATGTATATATCAATCGCCCGCATACTATAGTAACGTGATGCCTTCGTTCATATCATGCAATAAACATGCGTGGTTTTGCCCAGTTAACATTCAGAAAAACCAGTTTAAACATCAGATGCGAATTATTGTATTTATTCAAGATTTCGCCAATTTCTGCTTTAGCTTTCCATTTTCGTAAATTTAATTTAATTTTTTTCAATTTTCCGTATTCGAATGAATAAAATACATAATAATATAATGATTTTTCAATGTAAATATTGAATAACAAAAATCAAGTATGAACACTGTATAAAAAACTGTAAACATTGACTTAATAATTTTATTAAACAAAAGTTAAAAATATTCTGTTCAAATCAAGTAAAAAGTTCTAACAATCATTTGATCTTAACACTGGAGCACTTAATTCAAATGTTCTCTCTGCATTACCTATCTGATAATATAGAGAATAATGTTAAATATTCTCTCTATATTACTGTTAACTGTCTTCAATAATATCTTGGATCCAGTCGACAAAATTTTGAACTTTACAATAAACGCCAGGTGTATCGGTTCTCGCACAGCCTATGCCATAGCTAACTAAGCCGATTTGATAAAATCGATATCGATCACCACTAATTTCAACTGGATACATCATTGGTCCGCCGCTGATAGAAATTGAAATCAAATGGTGAGTGAAATGCATGAAAATTGTGTATTGACATTAAATTTACCTATCTCCTTGACAACTATCACGGCCACCATTCAAATCACCGGCACAAAGAACCGATCCACCGAATTGATTATCCGAAATAAATTTACGTTGTTTTTTGTATCGTTCTTTGCATTCGGAATTTTCGAGAACTGGCAATTCGAGCTGCTGTAACACAATCGACGTTTTTCCACCTTCCTGCAGTCGACCCCAACCGGCAATGAACGGTTTTTCACCAACAAACGAACGGCTTCTAAATGGCTCATTAGTTGGTATGCAAATTGGTCGCACATGATCTATTAAATAGATTTCAGTTTGAAAATTAATTTCGATAAATTAAAGTTTAGTTTTTGCTTCATCTTCTTCGAAGCATTTGAAAAAGAAAGGATGGAAACTGATCAACAATTGGACAGACTCACTTGAAAATTCTGCATCATGTTGAAGGTATAAAATTGCAATATCGTTTGTTCCGTCACGTTTATTGTGATCGGGATGCATTTTTGTCCGGAGGATTCCAATGTTTTGCACTGTATCATCATCTTCATCCGAATCAGTGTTGTGTTCACCAAGTCTTACTTTAATCCTAACAATTGGATGGAAAATCCAATGAAAATCTTTCTTTTTTTTTCAATTTTTCAACTTACAATGAAGGTCTAAGACAATGGGCCGCAGTTAACACGTGACGAGATGTTATCAGTGAACCACCTATTAAGATGAAGAAGCTTATATGGTAAATTTTTCCAAAATAATTGAATATCTTCTCTATGGATTCTTCTGATAGAGTAAATAACTAAATAAATCATACCGCATCTCCAAGCTATTTGACCTATACTGTTTTGATAGCCAAGCAATGCCATCCATGGAAAACCACCTGCATTTACATATCGAAAGATTAAAATTTACTCGTCTCTCTCTCTCTCTCTCTCTCTCTCTCTCTCTCTCTCTCTAACTATTCTTTCAATGATTTACCTCGGGGTGCTGCTTTACCACCAACAATTCGAAAAACGGATGCCTTGACTTTTGGAATGCCACATCCTTCATCTTCTGTCAGCAAACGCCCTAAAATACCACCCGGTGGAGCTAAAACAGAAAGAAGTGTATTTTTGTTATGTCGTTTGAAACATTTATTCTGTCTTCATCTTCTTCTTCTTTATTTAAAAAAAAATGAATGGATTTATGTTCAATACAATTCACCTAATGAACTATATATTTTATAAATGTTATATAGACTTAGTTCATTTGTCTTACAGGCCGCTTTCAGAATGTAGAATACATTTCATAAATTATTGACGGCCTTTCAAATATTTAATTCGATATTGAACCAGACATGAAGCAGGTTTTATTGATTTCACCTCGTGTTCAAATAAAATGACTAACAGTCACTCATGTAGCTGTATCCAACTGAAACTGGCTAAGTTGATTGAAATCAAGTATTTTGTATGGAGATAATCACGTTTAGTCATTCTTTCAGTCCGTCGATTAATTTGGAACATTTTGACTAACAGTGATTTTGTGATTAAAGTTAACCTGAGTTTATTTTGTTCGATGAAATCGCTTTTAGTCAGTCAACATGTCCCATTAATCGATTTAGTCAGTCAGAAAATTTCCACACCGGATGTCCTTGAACCTGGTTCAGAACAACATACATTCTAACATCCCAGCTAGCACAACTATTCTTAGCGTCTACTTAGCTTAAACCTTATTCGAATTTTATTCTTAGTGTCTGTAATGTTCTTATTGTATTCAAATATAAGTATATGCAAAGAATAGAGGTATATTCTGTGCTTGTTCTTAAAATATTCACAAAATGTTCTTAAAATACACTGTTCTTAACATGTGCACGTTTTGAATATAAGTTAAGTATAGAATCTGACATGTTCATGATAACATGTTCTTATTTTCTTTGCTTATTCTGTGGAACATAATACTTTATAAATGCGCTGACTCGTACTATAGGCAACATGTGCGTATGGGTGAGATGTTCAACTGGCAGGCATTGAGATCGAGAGAACCAAGGTTCGGCACTCAACGGATAAAATAAAAATTATTTAAGAGAAAAAAATAAAATGAACATGAAAATAAAATTGAAATTATCTACAACTTGTAAAATAATTTTAAAAAAAACAATGGAGAAAAAATGAAAAAAATAAAAATAGAAAGTAAAAAGAATAATGACAAACGAAATGTGGAAGGCAAAAATATTTTTTATTCTTTTCCGGCGGCTGTTGATGTTCCCAGTGGAGCCTTAAACTGTACTTATAGTGTACAATAAGAAGATCTTACGCGTACATATCGGAATAAAGATGTGGCCCTTTATGCCCTTACCCTGTTCTTATTGAGTTCTTATAGAATACGATAAGAATAGCTTATTCTGTTCTAGAATTGGATAAGAATACGCTAAGTAGAATTGTGCTAGCTGGGATAAATACGTTTTTTTTGCTTAAGCTTCAGCTATAGCGACGCCGATCTTCATCACTCATACACTTTCTTTATTTCTCTTTTAAATCACCGTTTTTGTCAAGTTAATAAATTATTTCTAAAAAAACAAAAACACTTTTTGCAATAAATGTTTCGGGAACATCGGAAGAAATTGTCAGAAAATGTGCGTTGCAAATCTGTTGATGAGATGTAGAACAATCTAAAGGTTTATTTTAATCAAGTTAATTTTTAGCATTTCTCTAGGGGGTAGGAACACAAGCGCTTGAGACGAATTCGTACGAATATTCGTGAATTATTGTGATTGTGTATACGAGACATTCGCAGCGCAGTGAGTGTACAACAGCAATAACAAAGCCACGAACGCATGAATATATGCGAATACATACGAATGACACAATTTGTTCCTAGCCCCTAGGCATTTCTTACTTCACCAATAAAACTGTTTTTATTTCATGAGATAAACACAATCGAGGGCAAAACAGAACATTTTCATAAATCAAATCCAACAAAGAATATGACATTAGTGGGAACAACCAACCTTGTGCATTGATTTCGAATATTTGTCCAGTAAAAAGAACTAAGGTCGTTATTTGCAATAGATATTTATTTTCCATTTTAAACTCCGCTTTGAACACTATGAAAATTTGAGGAAAAAATTCACTTTCAACTGCGATCTAATCTGCGTCGATGTAACAAAAGTCGAAAATTCTTTATAAAGAACCAAATCACGACTATGTGCGTACTCGTCGATGGGGATGCACCAAACCGCAAAGAAAAAAAAATGTGAATCCCGTCTTCACATACACTTATGATTTCATCAAAATACTGCGATCAACTAAGCGATATAAACATCTTTATGATCTTTATGAACCGTTTTATATCGATTCGTTGTGTGACGATGACGAAATTCGTTTCGTTTGTTTACCACTGATCGCCCGGTGCGTTGTATTGAAAAGAACACGTTGTCTTTGGTCATGGCAAAAAAGTACACATTGTGTTGCATTGATGATATACAGAAAAACCGGTTTAGGCATTCGATTTATAATGAAATGACATCTTTTAAATGTGTATTGAACAAGGGGAGAGACACCAATGTTAGTTTTTTTAAGTTTTTTTTATATAGTTCTCAATCGACATTTCATTTAATTGAGATGGCTGTGCATGGTTCAAAGTCCATTCTAGTAGTAAGTAATTAACTAAACAACACAATTTAGTTTATATTATTATGAGTTGAATTTAATTATTTAATCGAGTTAATACAGTTAGTATAATATATTCTATATGCTAAAAGACAAACGATATGAGAAGAAGGTTGGTAAATGAATGAGTAAGTCTCCATGTATTGTTTAACGTTTCGTATTTCCTCCATGTATTGCTTAACCTTATACTCAATGTATGAACAAACACACAGTAAACACGATGGTTTTAACTTTTAGAACCGCAATATGAAATTTGGCACTAAAATCCATTTAAGTACCATTTGTACTAGAAAAAGTTCAAAATGTACTAAATCACAAATCAAAGCTTCATGTATTTATCATAGAACTTTTGAACTTTTTTTAGAGCAAATGGTACTAAAACAAAGTTAAGTGTCAAATCTCAACATTGCTAGAATCATTGTGTTACTGTGCAGGGACTGTAACTAAGAGGAGATGGAATTGTGAGGAGGCGTTGACTTGAATGCATTCTGGATTTGATATCGGTGATGATTCGGTAAATTTAAAGGTTTTATTGATAAATCTCATCCTGAATCCAGTCGATAAACTCTGAAACACGAGTATAAACGCCAGGTGTGTCGACTCTGGCACAACCGATACCGTACGAAATTATTCCTAAAAAAAAATGAAACGTATGTAAAAATGGCCATGAAAATATATACAGAGAGAGAGAGAGATAAAATGAAAATATACCGATTTGATAGAATAGAGATCGACCACCAACTTGAACTGGATACATCATTGGTCCGCCGCTGATAAAAAAAATAACCAAACGGTGAGTGAAATTCATGGAAATATTGTTTGACATTGAATCTAATTGTGAATTTACCTGTCTCCTTGACAGCTGTCATGACCACCATTCAAATCACCGGCACAAATGATCGAGTTATCGAATTGATCTTCTGAAAGTAATCGACCTTGTGTCCGGAATCGTTCTTTGCATTCAAAATTGTTGAGAACTGGCAATTGTAACTTTTGTAATACATTTGATGACCGTCCACCCTCTTGTAATCGACCCTAAACGAACATTTTATAATATCAAATAATTAATATATATTAATGTGATAATTATTATTAGATTACCCAACCAGCCACAGACACTGTTTCACCAACAAATGAACGACTCAGCATTGGCTCATCGGTCGGTATACAAATTGGTCGGACACGGTCTATTAAACAGATTTAAATTCAAAATCAAAATTAGTTTTATTTGGATGGAATAAAGTTGAGTTCTTTAGATTTCTTTCTAATCTTCAAGCTGGTGCTTCAATTTCTTCTTCGAATTGAAAGCGAGAATGGAAAAGAAAGGATTGTATAAACCATGACTCACTTGAGAATATGACATCGTGTTCAAGGTGTAAAATTGCTATATCATTTGTTCCAAGTCGTTTGTTGAAATTCGGATGTCGATTTTTTCGATTTATATTAATATCTTGAACTGGCCCATCCTGATCTGAATTGATATCGTGTTCACCAAATCTGGCTAGTGTTCTATGCATTTCAACGAAAAATGATTAATATCTTGAATCTTTAACATTTGTTGAATCAGTCTACATACAAAGTTCGAATGACACAATGAGCTGCGGTCAACACATGTCGAGATGTAATCAACGAACCGCCTATTTTAGTGGAGAGTTTTTACATGTTACCTATTAATCAACACAATGATATACAGTCAATCATACCGCATTTCCAAGATTGTTCGCCCAAATTGTTCACATAGCCCAGCAATGCCATCCATGGATAACCGCCTGAAAATACAAGTTCAAGAAATCGCTGTTAATATGTCATTCTTAGGCTAAATCAGTTGATTTGTGAGCTAACCTTGAGGTGAATTAATTCCACCAACTACAAATTGCCGCAATCCCGCCGCACGCTTTTGTCTCACCTTTTGGCCAAAATAAAAAGAAAAATGTTGATAAAAAATGTACAAGCACTTGACACTGGGTAAATAAAGAAAATCATGACTGAAATCGTAAGTGATTTTTTTTTGGTCCACGGACACTTCTCGCAATCGTCTGGATAATATTTCAAGAGGGAATGAAAGAAATGAAGGAAAATTCGATATAAGTATTTTAAATACCTGTGGCGGTGGAATCCCACATCCTTCCCATTCAGTCAGCAGATGTGGATTATTTTGACCTGATGATTTCGATGAAAAACAGTCATGACAATCAAATAATGTCCTAACACACAATAAACCGTATTTAATTTTCATTAAAATTACTGACCTTGCGCATTGCTTATTTGAACGATAAAAATTACTAAGCACAATATTGAGCACAGACTTCTCATTTTTGAAAAGAATTGTATTGTTTTCACTTTTCACACGACTGAACACAATTTCACTGATTAAAATTAGTTTTTTTCACCAATGTAACAATTTACTCTAATTGAAATTTTGTGGTTAACGAGAGTAACAAAATCGTAAAAATAAATTCGAACCAAATCGCAGCTCGATGGACCAAGTCGAACACTTGCAGTTAATTCGATTTCAATCTTCGCTTCAGTCGAGAATCACAGCTAAACTGATCGGTAGATTATACGCTTGATTTATCCATCCGTAAACCACTTGCAACGGCGCCGTGCAATTAACACGTTACCTTTGGTTTTAACATACGATGTATGTCGGTAGAATTGCTCAGCTGGCATCCAGAAAAACCGGTTTCAACATGAGACGCGATTTAATTGTCTTTATTATCATACATGATTTTGCCAAATTCTACCTTAGCATTCCATTCGTTGATTAAAATGTTCTTGGGAATTTTTTTTATTCTGAGTCACTTCTATGTATATAGTTGCAACACTTTGAAAGAAAAAAACCCAAACCCATTTGCTTAAAATCAGAAAATTCTTCGAAACATTTGAATTTGAACACTTCGTCAGTTCAAGCTGTATTCCAGGAATGGATGAGATTGATCGTTTCACATTTTTCATGTCAAATAATGTTGATAGTTGTGGAAAGCAAAACAAGTTGGTGATCTCAAATCTTGATAAAACAACAAAATGTTCATTCAATATCACAACATTTATTTAAACAGAAACAAGTACACTTGATTATTATTTCATTCAATTTAGTATAGATTCTCCTCAGAAATCAACACGGTAATAAATTTGAAAGTAAAATGAATTCACTCGATATCATGCAATTCATAAATATAAGCCAGATATAGTTATTCATTTTAATCGAATGTGTCAGTATGATTCATACAAATATGATGTGATAAGATATTTGATTATTAGCCGAAGTTGTAATTACTCATTTGGATGTCAACGTTTTAAGCCCCATATAATACGTGATTACAGTTCTGAACATCTGTTGACGAAACAACCCAACATTATTTGTAAGAACACAAAAAATTCCACGTGATTTGTATTTAATGATAAAAACATAATTCATATCAAATACTAATTTACTAAATGCTTTACAAAGGGGGTAGACACAGTTTTCTAATGTACAAGTTTTGACGAATTTGTCTCATTCTGCACCGAGTAGTTCCGAGTACATCTGTGCATGTAAACTCGAAACTACTCAAAACACTCAGTTGACTTTGACAGTTCTCTGTGTATACTACACATTACACTGAACCAAATGGCACCGAATAGCACCGAGTAGATTCTAGTATCGTCGAGTGTTTGTTAAGTACACTGCAACATTTTTGAGTGTAAAGACTAATATTGAGATGGGACAATATAGAGATTTCAACTATTTTAAGATGAATTTACACCGAAATTTGGGTAAAATGAGTTATTTTCTATGCGTGTGTCCAAACGGCTACTGTTCATATACGCGCTAATACATAGACACGCACTGGTGCCGAGTCTGTGAATTTGTATGTATTGTATAAGTTGTTGAGTACAAAATTTACAATACATGTACGTGCCTATGTATTAGCGCGTATATGAACAGTAGCCGTTTGGACACACGCATAGAAAATAACTCATTTTACCCAAATTTCGATATAAATTCATCTTAAAATAGTTGAAACCTCTATATTGCCCCAACTCAACATTAGTCTTTACACTCAAAAATGTTGCAGTGTATGAATTTGTGTCTAACCCTTTGTGCTTTACCGTATTAAATGTTTGCAAGTTTAACACTGTGAATCCGAATCCATGATAGAAAAGTGATGTCTGTGCATTCGCTATCAAAAGGATGAAATGCTTTTGCAAGTTAACTGGATGTGTATACCAATTTGACTCGAACAAACAATCCGATATTTGCGCATAGCTTTCGGTGGCCATTTTACCAAAATAACAGTAGATAAATAGGTTTGATGCGCTGGTTGCAAAAGTCAATAGAATTATATTGATGTTGAAGTCAATGTGATTTAGTTCCTAAAAAAGGGGGATTTTGTGAAAAGAGATAAAAAATACAAAGTACCAACGACGTTGGTCCAACGTAAGAAATCGATCCGAATGATGAAATTTGAAAGAGAGTGATGTGAGGTAAGAGTTAATTTAGATAAAGAATTACTAGGTCCAATTGGAAAAGCAAACAAATCATCATGAGTACAGTAAAAATTAATTGAACCAAAATATAGGGGCTGTACACTTCTGATGTTTCTGAAAACCACCTAACAGAATCAATGTTAAAGTCAAGGGTTAATTACATTCATAAGTGTCAAGAATGAAGCTTCAGAAAAAGTATTTTTTTTTTTCATTTTGAAAAAAATGAGAATTACCCTTTGATCGTTTTATGAAAATCGTGAATCACCCGTAAAACCTCAAACGCATCTCGGTTGGGATCTTCCAATTCAAACACGCAACGTCGAAACATTCTACCAAATGCTCGATGATGTAAGCATAATGATATGAATAATATAAGCAGCGCTCCATTACAAATAAAATACCCTTCGCCGACGATGAGAGCCATACATATCTCGAAGAAGTACCCAAAAATCGTCGTTTGATTCCATGGCCATCTAAGTGATGTGTGTGTTTTTTTTTTAAATTATCATTGTCATACACATGGCAATTCTTCTTAATGCTAAGGGAAAAGTGAGAAATCCATACTTACACATTTCTATACGGATGATACACCGAGTTTACATCAAAATCCTTAGTCGATATTACACAAATGAGAGTTGTAATGATGCTAGATAGAATAGTACTAGCAAAAAATCCACCCGATATGAATTTAAAGTAGTTCTTCCAAATCCATTCACTTTGATCGTTGGCCCTCAACATAAATTCATCATTTCGATCTGAAAATGAATATCATACTTCTCGTTACAACAAGGTGTGCCGGTTTACATGAACCGAAATGAGTTGTTATGGTATGTATTTATTTTTGTTTCGAAAAGGTTTTAAACAAATGACATCTTACTTTCTTCGTATATTCCTGATAGACTTTTGAAAATGTGAGCGATTTTGCGTCGTGAGATAAGTAAAATTAAACAGATGTTTGTCATTGACAAAAGAGCAATAAGTTGGAAAACTCCATACAATAATATTTCCACATCAATTGATATATATTTCCATAGAAAAACCACCGTAGCTAATATGGCACTTAGGTTTCCAAACCAAACCATAACAGTAAATAAAATACAAAAGGCTTTTTCACGAATGCTTGGCTCATCATCGAGAGGATGAACGCAGAACCAACTTAAAACTCGTTGATTTGTTGCCAATGGTATCATTTTAAGTCAAGTCCAATTTGCGGTTTATATCGATCTATTTATTTATTTGATGTAGCTTCAGATTATCCAGGTGGTGTTTGTGCTCAATATCAGCTGTCAAATTCACATCACAAGTCAAACGTATTTCAAGTTATTTCAATTCAACCTTAGGATCTCCTCAAATATTATTTTGATCCACTCAATCGCTGCGATGAAAACAAACTAAGCTAATTTCGGAATGTTGTTGTTGGTTTCATTAAAAGTTTGATTTTTACCTACTTCCTTCTGTATGTTGACAAATAGGATCGCCACTTTTTCAATCAAAACCACATTTTATTTACAAGTTTTTATTCAAGTGATAATAATTTATTCATTTGTTGTTGTTTTCTTGAATTCTGGGCAAATATTTCTTAGATATTTATTATCGACCAGAAAGTATCCCATTGAATCTTCATTATTTTCAGCACATGTTCCATACTTTGATGTAAAAAAATTATCATTACACACATATATAATATACCAAACAAACTAAAAACTAACTAACGACCGTAGGTAAAGTGAAATTGGGACCTTAAACAAAACCCATTCTAAAAGACCCGACCTATTTTGATGTCAATCAATGTTAATTCAATTCTTCGAAAAGTGTTCTTCATATTTCATCTCTGAAAAGCCGAGGAGAAAGCGTACGTACCGATGTACAGGACTGTAAAACCCTATTCAAAGGATCCAATTGCTTTTCTCTGATGTGAATAATTCATCTTTGTTATGTTTACACGTGTTTTGTCAATAGGATTGTTGTAAATGCAGGTTCTTTGTCAACAAATCCGTATTTTTCAAAATAAAATTTAAAAAATTTCAATAATATAAAGGGTGTCCCAAAAGTACCTGACCGATTTCTTTTTTGAATAAAATCTGCAATTACCGACGGATTTTTGTCATATTTGACAGGTGACGTCTCAAAACTATAGGATTTGGTTCGGAGTTGAATTTCATATGATTTTTCCATTTATGACCAAACCAGCGGCTTCTATTTTAGAGCATAATTTGAGCCCTAAAGTTCGGGAAAATGTTGATTTTTCCGACATAGATCGATTGAATATCGTGTTCAAATGACTCCAAAATGTGATGGACTTTCGATACAACATTTTTCAAAAATATTTTGTACGAATTAAATTGGTTTTGTTGAGAAAATTTATCAATTTCGGTCAAAAATTAGGGAAAATTCGTCAAAAAATGTTGTTTTTTCAACAAAGGTGTTGACGAACTGCTCTAAATCACTTTAAGGCTACTGGAAAAAAAAATCTAATGTGATATGTTCGTCAAGTCCTAGACCGTCAATTTGAGTTAAAATTTTAAATTTTTCTTGTCCCGGTCGTGGCCAATTTGGCCAAAACGAGCCGAAATTGGCTCAATAACGATATCTCGTAAACTATTCAAAATTTCTAATCAGTTTCTTCGGTGAAAATAAAGTATAAGATGGAAGGAAAAAGTTCTTTGAAAAAACCATATCCAAAAAGACGGTGCATGATACCGAAAAGTCCTTCGGTACTTATACCTCGTAATATTAAGGGATGACTGTTTTTGTAGTGTGAAACTTAGGGTTCGATTACTAGTTTGTCTGTCATGTATTGGGTCGGAAGCCCTATCAGAACTAAATCCTATAGTTTTGAGATGTCACCTGTCAAATATGACAAAAATCCGTCGGTAATTGCAGATTTTTTTCAAAAAAGAAATCGGTCAGGTACTTTTGGGACACCCTTTATTATTCGAAAATGACTCAACACATGACCATAATTCTCTTTTCTATGTGTTAATTAGAAACAATCAAAATAATATGCTGTTGGTAACAATTCAAATGAAAAGAACATATTTTCTCTGATGCGAATAGAACACTTAATTAGTTATCCAATTATAATTGGCTTAAATACGATTTTAGACATAAAGATAAATATGTTACGGCAATAACTTGATTATTCCCACTAATTGTTACTATCTGAGAATTGGTTTCAGAAATATTATTCCACATCATGGAAATGTTGATTGATATTCTGAGAATTTTACTCATTTGCTATGGTTTTAAGCATCATATAACCAGCGAACACCTTGTTTAATATCTAGAAGAATTAAGATGATTCATTTTAATAAATTTTCTCTCTTTAGCCAAAAGAAGGTGGATCTTTATCCAATTTCAATGCTTACTCTTGTAAATGTTTCCAAGTTCATTGTAATCATCCCAAGCCCATGATAAAAGATCGGTTTCTGTGCGTTTGCAATCAATATTATGAACATTTTTTGCTGCTCAACGGACAAACTCTGCCAGTTTGATTCAAATAATGAGTCTGCCATCCAAGCGAAACTCTCAGACGCCAATTTCCCAAAGAAGCAAAAGGAAAAAATATTCGATACACTGTGTGCAACAGCCATTAAAAGGAGGAAAATGTTGAAGTCGATATGCTTGAGCTCCTAAACAGTTTGAAACAGATGATTTATCATGAAAAAAAATTTGATTGGTTAAAAAGTTCTTGAGAAAAAGAACATATGTAAAAGTAGGAATATTCCATTGAAGAAGAAAATAAAAAAACTCTTCCAAAAAATGTTGCGTCAAATTGAATTCTCACCAGATCAATTTGAAATACGGCACAGGCCAACATACTCATGCCACAGATCGATTGACCTATGATATATGGACTGTACATGTCTGCGGTTTCGGCGAACCATCTAGAAAAATGTCGATTTTTCTTTCATTCAAAATCTGTAATATTGAATGGGATTTTACGAATGAAACTTACTTTGTGATCGTCTCATGCAATTTAATTAACTGGCAAAAGAATTCACGGTGATTCTTCTGTTCGGCTGGATAATCCAAAATTCCCAATGATTGTCGCCATTGCTCATAAAACGCTCGATGATGCAAACTAATCGAAATGAATAGCATAAGAAGTGCTCCGATGTATAATAGGTAGCCAATCGAAGTAATGATATTGAATAATATCTCAAATACATATCCATAAAGTGTTTCTTCATCCCAAGGTGTACTAATTGGTAAAAGTTTAATAAATATGAAAGCTCTCATTAAGCAATTTCGATTTGAAACAGAGAGCTTAAGTAACACTTCAGGTGCCTGAATCAAGAAAATCAACTCAGCTCAGGCAAGCTCAGCAGAAAAATAACACCCATAACACCCTCTAATTTAAAAAAAATTCAATTTACATCTACTCACACTAATTTGAGGGGATGGAATACGAAATTGGCGACGAAATGTCCATATACCACTTCACAAATCAATAACGAAATGATATAAACTGCAGCCATACCGGCGAAATAGCCACCTATTGCGAATTTGAAATAAAACTTCCACATTTGTTCACTCTTATCGTTTGCTTTGGCCAAAAAACGAAATGAATCATCGTTTGCATCTATGTTGAAGAAAAGTTTATTTGAATGAAATTGGTAGGTTGACATTTTCATATTTTATTTCATTCAATTTTACTAATAAATAATTCGAAATGAATGAATCCTTACGTGAGTCATAAATTTCTTCCAAATGTTCAAAGATAGCAGCGAATTTATGTCGGGATAGGAACGTGATGGTGATTGCACATGTCATGTGCACAGCTCCCCCAAGCTGAAAAACTGCATACAACGATTGTTGCGAGTCGATGGTTTTGTACTTTAGGAAAAATAACGCAGTCATCCATGTAGCAAACAAATTTGAAGTTATGGATGTGAGTATTAAAGTAGTACAAGCCAACGATTCTCTCCAACAAAGAGATTGATTAACAGGATACGAAATCAAAGCTAGTACACGTTGAGTTGTCTTCAGTGGCTTCATTTTGATTGAAAATGCGCAATTGTTTTAAGTTGAAAACTAATGAACTTTTTTTTGCTTGAGAATACAAGATGTTTGTATAGTCACGGATGGAATATTGTCGCTGAATAAAAGACAAGTTATTCGGTCGAAGAACAAAACGTCAACTAATGACTCGAATATGTGTCATTCCTATGAATCCCTCGAACTGATTACTGATACATATGTCGTAGGTTTATTAGATTTTGTTACGCGTTTGATACAATTAGAAGAAAAGTTCCTCAAATAATTACGAAATATCGGCTCGAAAAGGACTGAAGGTCGCTCTAAATTCGAACATTTCCCGTGGGAACTTTTCATAATGTAGTCGCAAATGAAAAAGATGTCCGAAAAGGGTTCAGACTTTTAACAATATTTAATTTCGATCCTTTTTATAAAGAAATCTCGAAATATATTCATAGTTATACACGTGCAACCTTACACGCGTGAC